AAAAAAAGCCTGCTCAGACAGGAATCTTTGTATTGGCAGTGTTGCCAAGGTGGTTTCTTATCACTGCTTTGTCTTTGTACCTGCCTCAGAAATGTGCATTTAGGCATTTTTCAAAGGCACTGCTCATGTGAATACTGTATCCCAAACCACAAGAGGTTTTTTTTATATTCTTTTCAGCGATGCAGGTTCCAAGTCAGGTGAACAATTTTATGTGGAATCCCGGGTAATCTTTCCTCTTTGCCATTAGGGAGGGAAAGTGCTTTATCCATACACCTGGCTTAAATTAAGCTTCCATGGCTTGAGCCCTACAGATATCTTTCTTGCAGAAAAGAATGGAATTAAGTAACGGCAGTTTTCCTGCATTCCCCTACTGCCTGTCCTTCTGGGGAAATTGGCACTGGAATTTGGGAGTGTTTCTGTTCCCAGCTTGCTCACAGACTTGTAATATGACCGTAAATAAATCATTTAAGCACTTGTTGCTCCCCCGCCCCAAGTCTGTAAAATGTGGTTAGATGGAGAGAGTCTGGAGATCTTTACATATGAACCACTGTGTTCAGGCAATGGATCCATGTAGCCTGGTATTCTGCCTCAGGGAGGTGTCTTTGGGGTAATTTAAGAACATAGAAAATACCCAGTAGTGCTAACTGGTGTTCAGTCTGCCTCCACCATTGTCATGGTTCAAGGACTGCCTTTGGAGCAGTGACTTCTTAACTTTCTGTCTCATAAAGCCCCTGACGATTCCCTGTCTTCCTCCTTTTCCCACAAACTTTTATAATGGCCTTTTGTGTTCACATAAACTTAACATCAGCCCTGTCTTACAGCATGTTGTTCCACAGTTTGACTACAAACATAGAAGGACTTCCTCTTGGTTTGGACCCGCTGTTAGTTTCATTTCATGTTCACCAGCACTTCACTTAGAAGAAGCCGGGAGTTGTGCGCCTTCTGTTGGCTCTGTTTTTATAGGCTGTCACCTTGCACCTCAGCTTTCTGTCTTCAACTATTTGTCTTCTGTATGGAATCCATTCCCTGTCTCTGATCATCCCAGTTACCCCAGTCAGTACCTTCTCTGAGTCTAGCTATGGTGATGGTGGTGTGATACTTTAGTTTTTAATGAAGTAAGACAGACCAGCATCCAGCATCCTGGGTGTGGATGCAGCATGCACACAGTGGTGCATCCTATTTTTGCACTCTGATTCTGCAGTTAAAACAAAGTGATTTGGAGCATTCCAGCAGAAATGCAGTAAATTGCACATCTTCTCCAATAGTTGGTATTTAAAGATTTTCTAGTTGTTAAAAAGTGCTGTGAATTTAAGAGGCTGGATTCTCGTTGGCAGTAGTCAAAAGTAAATCATGCTATGAGATCTGTTATGTTCTTAATAGCCAGAAGTAAGCCCTGTGATTATGACATTCTGCCTGTTACACAGGTGAGTGTATTGCAGACACTGCTTTCAGCCCTCAGCTTCTTGGCCCTACAACAAGGGTTAAGTATTAAATGGAAAACACACAGCAAAGGGCTGTTGTGATTCAGCACGTGGTCACAGTCTGGTTCTGAAGCTGAGTCTCGGCGTGATGTTTGAGGAACTGTGTCTCAGTGGCTGCCTGCAGTAAGTGCTTCAAGTCGAGATGCTGAATCCTCTTGGTGGATATTGAAGATCTCTGGGGCTTGGGGCATTAACCATGGTGTCATGGGGTTAAGGCTGTGGGCAACTGCAGCTGGTTTGCTTACATGCTGGGTGTCTTTCGGTGGCATAAAATGCATGCTTCCTCTCCACAGCCTGCCCTCTTCCGAACAGACAAGTTTAATGCAAATTAGCTTAGGTTGCTTGTAAGCTAACGAGTGTTCTCATGGACAGTTAGCATGGATCACAGCAGTACGCTCGGGTGGCTGAGGGCTGGGTGAAATTGCATACGTGGCCGTAGCTTTGCTCAGTAAATGTTTGTAGGCTTAAAATGGGTCACATTATCCCTTCAAGCACTGAGGGGATGTCAATATCCAGCAAGTTGTAGTCACTATCCCCATATCTGATTGTGTATTATAGCACAGGCAGGTGTTTGGAGGAAAAAGTCTTTGTTTTTAGTATTTCTTAATAAAGGGGGGAGTGCATGCAGCGTCCCTGGCCAGCCCCTGCTCTGGGTGGCGAGGAGAATTCCAGGAACTCCAGGAAACTGATGTCACTGCATTGTGTTTGCTTGTTTTCTTTAAACCCCACTAGTGTTTAATTTTAACTTAACCCTCAGGAGGGTATTTTTAGTAAAACCGTTTCTTCACTCCTTCTGTCCTGTGTTTGGGGGGCAACAGATTGTGTCACCTTGTTTTTTCCCCATGTCAGCTCTCTCTCCCTTCCTCTTAAGAGCTCCCCGATGATTGACGGAGAGCTTGAGCACTCAGCAGCGTGTTACCCTGGCTCTTCGCATGGAGTGGCTAAAGGATCATGTTGTTTGTTCTGCACCAGGGTCTCTTGATCTGACGATTGATCCAGGCTGAAAGGAGGCAGGTCCACCTGGATGGACGCACACCATCCTGGTGAAAGCCCAGTACTTCTCCCAAATCTTCAGATACTGCTGTGGCTGTCCCAAGGGGCAGCTCCTTCCGTCGGGGTCTATCAGGCTCTTCAGCAGCTATCTGCTGGGAGAGACGGGCTTTTCAAAGAGTTAACAGCTCTTTAGGTTGGAAGGGATTTGTCAGCACTCTTAACAGAATCACAGCCCTGCAAGGGGAGGGGGTTTGTTTGATTGATTGATTAATTATTTATTTAAAGCAAGAAGTTATACTTAAAGCTCATGATCAGTTCCAACAGTTCAAATCTGAACAGTAAAAATGGGGCTACTTCATTTTCCTCCTCAAAGAAAGAATCAATTCATGTGTCTGAACTGCATGGGACGATTTTTGAAGCCATAAAGAGCAGAGGTGAGGAGGATAGAAATATAGCTCTGAAGTTGTTTTTTACTGGAAAACTGCTGTTTTCAGTATCCATGATCTAAGTTTTGGGTGCTGTTTATAGGGATTGTTTTTCGTGTATTTCTGCAAATGAAGAATCAGCAAACTGTTTCATGCTCTTCCATTCCTAGTCTCTGTGTTACAATAGTTGCTCACGTGCCAAATTCTAAGATAAAAAGAATTGCCACGTTTTTGATTTGTCATTGTTTCATGTATGAAAATTACTTTAATTTGTAATTATCTACACGTTATAAGAAGTGTGTATAGGGAAAAGCTGTTAAAAAATGACAGCGGAATAATTAAATTCACACCAGCTCTGCATGTGAGAGCTAAGACATCAAGAGCATCTTCTGTGGTGTGGTGTTACCGCTTCCAAAGTGGGCTCAAAGCGTGGAATAGCAAACTTGGATTAATTTTTCAGCACAAACAGGTCTCAGCTTTTTGAAAGACTAGGTAAGAAACACTTTTATCTCCTGCAAAGACAGATTTATGTATGGGCTCGTTGACACTATTTGCCTTACACCTCCTGAAAGCTTCACCTCCTGCCATGCTTCTGAACAGCATCACCCACTAACACAAAGGACCACCAGCGGGTGCTGGAAACGTTACCAAGCCCTGTGCAGTGGTTTGTATGGCTCACCCCATATGCCAGACGGATGAGCTGGGGTTTCCTATTGCAGGGGTTTGTTGTGGCTGGATTATTTTTGTTGCCTTTTTTTTCTCACCCAGCCTCTACCTTTAATCCTGTAATTCCCTTTTAAAAGAAAACAGCCTTGGGTGGTGCTGAGCTCAGCACCACAGCCATTTGCAGAGGTGTCACAGAGGCAGGAGAAGCTGCACTTCTCAGTTTACGGGGTGGACTGCTAGGAAACGGTCATTCTTTACCCTGTCACATTGCTCGTGCACAGGAGGTGTTACCCACTGAGCAAACAAGGGTTGTCTCACCGTTTCCTCTCCGTCTGTGTGTATGGGGAAGGCTGTTTGGCCAGCCACCTTAGTGAGGAAGGGACTGTGCTTTGTGTTTCCCGTGCAGCACTTAGCACAGTGTGGGCATCACTGCCTTTATTTGCATCAGGGTTGGCACTGCTGTTGGGCATTTTACTGCTAAGAGGATTTTTTATACCAGTTTTCCTGACTGCCGGTTCCAGCTCTGGGCTTCATTCTGCATCTTGTCATACAATTTGAACCGCTTGTTTTGCTGCGTTAATCTTCTGTGTATTGTTTTGCTTTCTTGCTCATTGTTTCTCAGCTCTTAGGCGGAAGACGTATGTAATCCTGGGATTTGGCTCTATGTCGTGCCACTCTGGTTTTGCACCCCTCCCTGCAGAATGGAGGAAAGATGGAAGAGGGGAACTTCAGGTCTTAAATTTCCCAGCCTCATCCCTCTCCTCCTGTCCTTTGTACCCTGCCAATCAAGGATGTGTGATCCCTAGACAAGTCTTTCTGATTAGTTCTCATCTTGTAGCACTCACTTCTGTGTGCCTGAGTGGTGCTGCAAATTACAACGACCTTTTATTTGTTTGTAGGTTTTCATCAGCTTTAGCGTGCCTTTCCTGCTCTGTAGTTGTTCCTGTAATGCCATCTCGTGGTCGTCCTAGGACTCAGATCTCTCTTCCCCACACTAACCAAAGCTGATGAGACGAGCTGCCTTCTGTAGCAGTGACTGCAGCTCCCTTCTTAGCTGCATTTGTGTGCTTGGTGAAACAAGGCGATACCTGTCTCTAGCTATGTAGTTAGTTATTCATCCCAATTTCAGTGTATATTTGTCTAAGTACCATGTATAGAGAAGCTGTTCAGTGCTTTGAGACTGTTTTCTTGTGATCGTGGGAAGGGGGCAGTGGTGTCAGGATTTGTAGGAATTCCACGTTATTCTCTGATTGTTTCTGATTATTTGTATTTATTTCCCATCTTTCTGTGCTTTGGATAAGCCATGAAGGCAAAAATAAATTCAGGGCATGTATGCTTCTAAGCAACTTCAAAGCTTTCCTGTACCTTAGGAAGTAAGAGCCATGTGTCTTGTTACTAAATACGGTAATTTCTTTTTTCCTTTTTGTCTTCCCAGTGTTCCCAACTCTTGCCCAGCCAGTCCACGTGGTGCTGGATCCTCAGGATATCGTTTTGTTCACAACATTACCTCGGATCTGCAGCTGGCAGCGGAGTATGCTGCAAAAGCAGCATCAGAACAGCAGGCAGATGCATCTGGCGGGGACAGCCCAAAGGTTCAGAGAAACATTACTTACCCAACAGGGCTCATTGGGAGGCTTATTAAGACCTGGCAGTTTATTGCCAGTGCTGAATGCAGTTAAATGAGTCTAAGAATACCCTGGCCATAAGGGCGCTGTGTGCAATATCCTCCAGGGTTTTAAGACCATGCCTTCAAACCAGCATCTTGTTTGTGGTAGATGATGAATCTGCTTTGCTTAGCTGCCCAAAATGTATTCAAGTCATTCACTAACAGGGTTAAGCAAGAATAATTTGTCTTGCTTGTTTGATAAATCAAGAACCCATAAAGAAATGGAGCATTAGAATTCAGTCTTGTTTTCTCCTTTTAATTAATGGTATTTTGCAAAACGCAGTTGAGGAAAAGGGAAACAGGAAGAAACCAGATCCTTGTCATGAGAAATCTGTAGTCAGACTTTAAAACAAACACCTGTCAAGCAAGCGTTAAATGAGGAGAGTCGCAATGGAATTTAGATTAAAAAATAACTGAGTTACTATGATAAAACTTAATTTTGGCGAGCTGATCTTCAGATCAAAGTTAAAGGTCTAGGTTCAAAACCACCTGATTTGAGATTGGGTGGAGAAGCACAACACTAGATGACTTCTTTTTGTAGGTTAAATTCTCCCTTGAGACAAGAAGGGCTGTTCTTGACGGAGTAGTGTGAAGGGCTGGGAATATGAGATCTGTAAAACAAATTGAAGTTCCTAGAATGAAACGAGTCTTGCTGGAGACTGAAGGGACAGGATCAAGTTTCATGTTGGGCTTGTGGCTGGAAGAGAGCTGGTAGCATCTTGCATTAAAACTTTCTGACAAAGTTTTAGTTGTAATTGGGCTAAATTCAAGGCTTTAGTTTCATGATCCCTGAAAGCACTGAATGTGCACCATGCCCTGTAACTCTTTGCTTCCAATTGCTTGTCCTTGTTCTGTCCCTTGTGCTGATAGAAGCACATGTGGCAAATCCAGTGGAGAATGGAAGCAGATTAAAGTTACCATTTTTGTCTGTGTTTGATAGTGGGGATGTTGGAAGGGAGAAGATAATTTAATCTGTTTTAAGTTCTGTTTGTGCACACGTTTGCTCTAAACTAGGAGGTGACAGTGTAAAGCAGGAGTGAAAGGGAAGAGGAGGGCTTTTCCAATTGGGGTTGCTGGTGAACTTTAGCATAGGAGGTAACTAAACTTTTTTTTTTTTCCTTAGGACGAGTCCAAGCCACCCTACTCTTACGCTCAGCTAATTGTGCAGGCTATCTCTTCAGCACAGGACAGGCAATTAACACTAAGTGGGATCTATGCCCACATTACCAAGCATTACCCATATTACAGAACTGCTGACAAAGGCTGGCAGGTAAGTTTTTGATATGACAAGCTTTTAAACTACTTTGTCAGGTCTTATCTACTTTATAATACATTTATTAAAGATTTGGAGCACTGAGAATAGAGCTGCTTTGACTATTCCCAGAATTAATTTGTTTAACATAAGCTAACTAGTTTGTTTGTGGGTGATTAGTTTTTTGAAATATTTTATAGGGCAATGTAGTGTTACCATTGGGCTGTTTTCTGAAACTCTTCTAGTTCCATAGTCAGCTGTCTTTCATATTTGTTTATTTTTTTATTTTTCCACGTCCTTCCTATGGGTAACTCCCCTGCCCAGATACTTGCCTGAATTTTGCATAATCCTGCACGTTGTCTTTCTTTGGAGTAGTCTGTCCAAGCAGATGTCCAACCTAAAACTGAGATCGTATTTTGAAATCCTAATATTGCCTTAAATCATCACAGGTGTATTCTTTTCTCTTTTTATCTACTGCATTGCCTAAGTCAGTTTCCAAGTTTTGAATCTCAGAATGGGAACTTGAGGAAACTTGAATCTGTGCCCTCCATGTGGTATTAAAGGAAATCTGACCAGCTTCACTGGAGGGTTTGGATGTAGTTAACACATGCTAAATCAGACTAGAGTGATCACTTGAGGGCTGTTTTCAAAGTCTCAGAAATTTCAGCTCCACCTGCTTTCAGACTTTCTTGGCATCACACCTCTGAAATGGGTGTTGTCATTTGAATATAATACACCAATGTAGCTGAAGAGCCCCTTGCAACTGCTGATTTCATTGTGTTCAGCTGGCAGGAGCAGTATGGCTTGGTGCACTTTGAGTACAATTGGAATAAATACATTCTGCCTCCCTGGCTTTTCCCTGCAGTTCTAATTAACTGTGGAATTCATTTCCTGCCGTAACCTGCTCAGCAGAGTTGTGCTTTGTGAACCAGTTGCTGCATCCTGCTTCAAAGATAGCTGCCTTTCAGTGGAGGGTGAAGTTGCCTCTTTTTATTTTCCCCAACACAGTGTATAGGCTTTACTTCTGAAGAGCTTGTTTAAGGCTGCTACAAAAGCTCTTCTTTTGTTTTGAAAGTGGAAGAGGAATGAGTTGGTGCATACCTGGGCTTGCTGAGCCTTTCCCCTGGCCCTACAGACAGTGCTACGCCCAGTCAGAGGTGGGCTTTTTCAATGGAGAGGCTGATTAGTCGTGTCAACACCTGGAGAGCTTTACGGTGCTAGACTAGTGCCACATAAATAATGGATTCTTCTCGGAGCTAGGTGTTTGAGGGCATGTTGGCTGGCTTGCTTTATGATTACCACGAGATGCAGTGTCCTTTAGGGCATGTTTGGGCACCCCAGTGATCGTTTGCAGGTAAGCAGTTAGCACAGGCTCAGACAGCTTTTTCCGCTTGCCTAGAACAAAGCCTGTCTTGAGAGAGTTCTGATGTGGTTTGCACTGCTTTCCCCCTGCCTCAGAAAAAAGCTCTGCTTTCATTTTTTTTTTCCATAGAAAAGCTACCGTATTCCAGGACTCCAGATATATTTAAGTGATTGTACAGTACCAAGTAAACACATCTTTCTGCGTGGTTAGTAGAAGCTCTGTCTCACTAATTTCCCCAGATTTTCTCTCATGTTTCTCCCGTGACTGTGGAGCTCTGTGAGTTGAGTGACTTGTTCCTGTCTTCAACACCGATTCTGGCAGTATGGATTTTATTTTTCCAAGCTGTGCAGCGAAACCCGTCCGTCTTTGTTACATGTTTCCTCATGGCAAAATAATCATCTCGTTCCTCTGCTTCCTGCAGAATTCCATTCGGCACAACCTCTCCTTGAACCGTTACTTTATTAAAGTCCCACGCTCCCAGGAGGAGCCTGGAAAGGGCTCCTTTTGGCGAATTGACCCTGCCTCTGAAGCCAAGCTAGTAGAGCAAGCATTTAGAAAACGAAGGCAAAGAGGAGTGTCCTGCTTCCGAACACCTTTTGGGCCTCTCTCCTCCAGGTAACTTCACCTTCCTCTAATCTCTGTGCCAAACTCCCTGCAAAAAAAACAAACAAAAACTTCATCTGAAGTACAGTGAGCATGCTTCTGTTTATAGTTTTTGAGTGGTTATATAGGTTAGGTAGTCCCAAGGCATAATCTGAAAATTGTTCCGACTTCTTAAGTGTTTACAAAAAAAAAGAAAAGCCAGAACCAAACTAAAAATGCATCAAATACCATATCTGTTTTGGCATCATTTCAAAGAAATTCAAAACGTTTATCAGTGAAGTAAATGTTTTCAGATGCCAGCCTTTCATTTCAGGAAAGCTGTGTTTATATGTGGATTAGATCACAGTGGGAATACTTTTTGTGTTATTTAAAGCACTCTCCTATAGGGAACATCACATTGATCGTCAGCGTGAGCAGCGAAACATTGGGGGGGGGATGTTCTGTGTAACTGCTGCAGTCAGCAGTGCAGCTGCAAAGAGGAGCTGCGTGCAGTGACAGCCTTCTCTAAGCCCTGTAGCTGTGGGACCAGGACTTGCCATATACACTGCTATCTGGAGCAGGTTCATGTAGCATTCCTCCCACACCTCGCTTCCTTTCTGTCTTTTAAAATGGGGAAGAAGCAGGAGGAGAGATAATTTTTGGCTGATCAGCTTTTCTGTTTGTCATTAAAGAACTGTTGGATTCCTTACAGATTTAGTGGCCACGTGGGACAAGAGATGGGAACCAAGTGGTTGGGTGAGGGAGGCAACAGGGGTAGGAACTGCTTTGCAAGCATATGTGAGGCCAGACCTTTCATCTACACTGTGTCTTTCTTCCTCAAACACTGGCAAACATCCTTAGAGAATGCCCTGAAATTATTTAAAAATAAAAATAAAATCTAAACATAAGGCACTTTCAGTTTGTCTGTGAGTCTTCAGATGAAATGCTAGCTGTGCTCTGAAGGGTCCAGTTTCCTTCAGCAGGGATTAATGTGACTGCACGTGGTGCTAGAGGGTTTTTGGGATCACTGTGTACTCTTCCCAGCAAGACTACAGTGGGTAATGTGGAAGAATGGCTCTCCTTCTCCCTAGAGGATCCTCTGCTGAAGATAATGCTCGGTCTCTGCTGCTGTCTTGTGTTTGAAACACATCTACACCCGCCAATTCTATGTTCTGGTGTTTCAGGAGCGCTCCTGCCTCCCCTACTCACCCTGGCCTGCTGTCCCCTCACTCTAGTGGCCTACAGACTCCAGAGTGCCTGTCACGGGAGGGCTCACCCATTCCACATGATCACGACTTTGGGTCAAAGTTAGCCTCAGTTCCAGAGTATCGGTATTCACAGAGTGCACCTGGTGAGTAGCTCTCCTTTCACAGCAAGTGACTGTTCGGTTGCACTGAGTGCAGTGCTGGGGACGCTGCAGGGATGCTCCTACCAGCCTGCTACGGGAGGATCTAGGGCTCTTTTTTGGCTTTTTTTTACAGACTGACGATGCATGTGCAACTTCAGATCATTTTTCTAACTAGTCTATGTATTAAAGGGCAGGAGATAAAGGAATGTGTGGACACACACGAGCTAACCTTAAACTAGGTGTCTCTAAGGAACTGACAGTGGAGTAGCCTTGGTAGTGTGTAGCTCACTCATTAATTTGCCAGGCTTTTTGATAAGATCATCTTGTCTATGCAGAGCTCCATGGTTCTGTGGCCTTGGTAATTTGTTAAGCCTTGGTAAGTACCTGCTTGTCAGCTGTACTGCAAATGGCCTGATGTATAGGGTGTTCCTGTTGAAGTGGGATGGCAAAGCTCCTAATGTAAAGCCTCATATTTTGGGGCATATCGTGGTGTTTGTTCACAAAAATGTGCTCAGATGGCAAGTACTTTTTTATGTTAGTACATAGAAGATTGAAGGTGGCATTTTTGAAGCCTTAACTTGTTTTTTAACCTACCCCCACACCTTGCTGATGTTGAAGGATTGAGTACTGAAGATGTAGGAGAGTATAAGGAAAATGAGTGGAGGCCTTTTTTGCCTCTCCTATTAACATGTGCTTCTCTTTTCTGTTCAGGATCTCCAGTCAGTGCCCAGCCAGTGATCATGGCTGTTCCTCCCCGGCCATCTACTCTGGTGGCAAAACCAGTTGCGTACATGCCCGCATCAATAGTGACTTCTCAGCAGCCTTCGTGTCACGCAATTCACGTAGTTCAGCAAGCTCCCACTGTTACAATGGTCCGAGTGGTGACCTCCTCTGCAAACTCTGCAAATGGATACATCCTCACAAATCAGGGCACAGCAGGAGGAGCTCATGAAGCTGCAGGAGCAGTGTTGGACTTAGCCGGTGACCACCGAGGTAGCTTTTCACCTCCCTTGCTACTTCATTGATAAGTCTTGAGCTTGCTTGGAGTAGGGGGGAGTCAAACAGCTGTTTCACTCTGTGGGTGCTTAGCCCTTCTATCACGAGAAGATCTTTTATAAACTTAACAAATAGGAGTTCATCCAGTTGTGTTGCACCAGCAGCAACACTGGCTACTCTGACTGATGATATATGGGCAGTGGTGCAAAGGTTCTTCCTCTAAGGGAACAAAGAAATGACAAAAACTTTCCCCTACAGCAGTGGCAGGACCATTGGCATTTTTAGTTCTTCACTGGTTATCCTGCTTGAATTTCATTCACACTCTCTAGAAATTCCTGTCTGGATCCCATTCACGTTGTTGAAGCACTAACAGTTGCAGCTGCCTGTCACCTGCTCCTTTCTCTCACTCACCAGTTCTTGCTGTCTGTCATTTGTTCTTTCCCTACTTGTCCATTTTATTTCCACTTTTAGTTCCCTGTTTTTCCTTCCTACTCTGAGCTTTCCTTGCTTCTTTCCCTCTTGCTTTCAATCATCCTGCCTGCAAGTCTCGGTTCAATGCTCATGTTCCATCCAACTCCACTCCCGTTGTCTTCTGATGTTAGCATGGGAGAAGTCTTCCCTCCCTACAGGGTTAATGAATTTGTGCTTCCTGCCTACCTTGTCTGCTTTGAGACCACAGAGCCCCTGGAAAATGAGAGTGGCTCTCTGCTCACGCATGTCCAGCAGGAGGCTGTCCTGCAGCCGTTCCATACCTGCTGAATTGAACCTTTTTACTTGTCCTGGGAAGTGAGATAGGCAGCCAAATGCTCTAAGTTATTTCTCTGCAGGATTTCAGCCCTATTTATTTATTCATTATTTTTTAGTTAGTCTGTCCTTTATTATTTATTCCCTTCTGGTTTCTTCCCATACTCCATAGCTGGCGAAAGCTTGTGACTGTGCGGAGACCTTGTAAATCAACCTACGCACAGGCCTGACAGCAAGCTGTTGCAGACAATGCCTGGGGCATTGTTTGGGATCTTAAATGGCTTCTGCTGCTGTGTGGTGTCAGAGTCAGGCCAATTGGCTTGCAATTGTGAATATCTCATAGCTTACTTTTGTAGTGGCTGCTGTCCATATCACAGCTGTAATGTACAAATAAGGGAGTCGGTGTCCGTTTAGGACAAAGGGTCAAATTTATGGTCTTTATTTTCAGCTGGGTGGCTTATGCTCTAATAAAAAATGTTCTTAATATGCATAGAGTATATATACAGAATTTAGTGTTTTCAAAAATACATCCCTAGACTTTTGATGTGCTTCAGAATAAGCATTTCAGAGGGACTAATATTCTCTATTCTTATGTCCCTGGTTGCAGTGTTCTTCCTCTAATGAGCAGGGTGAGTGAATTGTTACCTTCTCAGAGCTGACTAGGCTGTATGAATCAGCCCACAGAAAATGTGTGTTTAGAACCTGATCCTGCCTGAAGTGTTCTGGGCAGTTTTCACAGGGCTCTAGGAGTCCTCTGAGCTCCTTGGAGCCCAAATATGTTACTTTTGTGACTAAGCTGCCTTAGCCTGAGAAGCAATGCTTTCCACTCCCACTCTGTAAACCTTGTAAAACACATCAAAGACAAGTGACTTTGTGGTGCTGAGGTACTCACACATCTGTAAGCCTGGGGTAGGTATTAGTACTAAAACGTTAATGAGAAGAAAGCCTGCTCCTAAACCAGCAGGGTGGTAATGGTGGTTGTCTGTTCTTCTCTCCAAGCAGGCATGGATGAAAAGCCAACGATTGCATTTGCCGCAATACCCACAGCCAGCCGTGTTATTCAGACAGTTGCCAGTCAAATGGCACAGGGTGTTCCGGGACAGACGGTCACGATCCTTCAGCAGGCAGCTCCAGTGGCCATCGGGCAGCACCAACTCCCCGTGCGGGCAGTCACCCAGAACGGGAAACATGCTGTCCCCACCAACAGCATCACGGGCAGTGCTTACGGTAGGCTCTGTTTTGATTGCTCTCTGAGCTTTCCAGTTCAGTTGTAAAGTTGTGTCTTTATCTTCTTAGCTATGCAAGTTATTCTGCGTGTTCAATTCCACAGGTTATAAATTGTGCAACTTCTGTGGCTGTAAACATCAGTGGTAGATACCCTTCTGCCCACTGGTTTGCTCAGTTCTCCTTGATGGGAAAGTTCTGCTATCTGCCATTGTTGCTGAAAAGTCTGGTCTCTCTCCTTGTCCTTGGCTCTGCATGTATTACTGCTTATACCTTTGGGAGTTACTTGTTGAAAGCGTTCTTGATTCTTGCGTTGAGTCTGCTTTATCATTTGTTTTCCTCTGACAAACAGCATTTGCTTTCAGCATGCTAAATAATAAAATTTCAGTGGTGCTCTTTAGATCTTGTGAAATATGACTCCTTAGAGTATTAAGAAAATAACATACTTTCCCATCTTAAGGTCTTAGAGCCTGAGAGAAATAAGATCTATTTCATCAGGTGAATGAATGTAGGATTGTTTATATACAGGATGTGTTGTAGTCATTTGTCAACCCTGATTTTTAAAATCTCATACTAGCTATGTCTTGGCAGCCTCTTCTTATGCTTGCTCAGCACCTCAGGTTTGTGCAGTTAAGGATGATGACTTAGGGTGGTAATATCCCAGCTTCTTACTGCCCTCCTCAAGAGATGCTAAGTACCTCTACTGTCCCAGGCTGGTGCTTACAGGGAGTTTGAAATGAAGGACATTGAGGTTTTGATGGTATTCTTAAAGCAAAGTAGGAGCATTTCTACCGAATTTTCTGATATTTGTATTTGCATTATCACCTGGCTTGCAATTTGAATTGCAAGAATCTTATTGGAGCGATGAAAAATTGTCAGTGATAAGTTTTTTTATGCATCAAAGATATTTAATAAATCAAATAGGTGCAGTTGCTGTTACCCTACAGTAGTGTTTGTGTAATGTAATGTTTTTTGTTTTTGTTTTTTTTTCCATGAAGATACTCTGATCTTACCAATTTTTTGGTAGCACTCTCTTAACATTGAAAGTATTCCAGGTGCATCCAAGTTGGGTGGTTTTCTTTTTTCTTTTTTTTTTGTGGGTGTGATAAGTAGTGAATTTTCTAGTTGACAAAATGGAGCCTGAGTCTATTGACTCTTCTGTATGAAGTTAACTTCTATTCAGCTGCAAGGTTTAGGTTCTTTATCAGTAACTAAATAGTAATTGATGTCTGCCCTCATCCTTACTCTGTTTCTTTCCTTCATCCCCTTGATACTGCATAGCCTCCTTCCCATGCCTTGGTAGAAGTTGCTGGGCTTTGAGGGCCTTTGTTCTGTTTCCATTGTTTGTTTATCTTAGGACTTCTTTTTTGATGCAGTTAGCAGCGAGCACACATTAATGTTTTGTCATTCCATCCTCTGCAAATCAGTCTGGAGGGCAGAGGATGTACTGTCTCCTGAGTCCCCTTTGGCTGCTTCTCCTATTGATGCAGAGTCCAAAAACTGCATGTGTTTTGTTTTTCAAGCGGTGGTGTGTGCCAAAGCCAGTGTGTAAGCACATTCTTTGTCTGGAACAAGGAATTGTAGACATTTTTACTCAGGGTTGCTACTTAAACCTTCTTTATTTTCTCACAACGTCTATTAATGGGAGGGTGAGAGATTTTTGTCAGTACTAAAATACAAGACTGGGAGCCAGAAATTCTTAAATTTGAATTCCAGTTCTGATGGAAACCCGTTTGATTGTCTGGGGTAAGCTGTTAAACCTTTCTGCCCCTTTTACAAGTGAGATGTCAATACTGTCAATATTTGCATTGTAATCCAGTGTCCCAACAGGCTGGCTGTTCCTACTGTGCAAGCTTTGCCCCAGGTTGTGTTTTTCTTTTTTGGCAGTCTCAGAGGGGCTGAAGAGGGCCCTCCAAAACAAAGGTGCAGCACAGAGATGCAGCTTGCAAAAAGCTAATTGTAGGTGGTGTGAGGGCTACCTCTCCAAGAGGCGTGCTGTAGTTTTAGCAGAGGATTGGTTCTCCTCATCTGGAGAATAATGCTTAGCTGGCAATGCCTTGTTTGACAGTGGATAGAAAGGATGAAGTTCTCCTTTGAAAGAGAACAGTTTCCCAGTTTGGTAAATTTGGACAGAGCTAAGATTGCTGTGGGCTTTACAAAATGGATTTGAACACTACAGTTGAGTCCGTGCCCAGGTGTTGCAGTTTGATTGTGGTGTTTTCTTGTTTCCTGGAACGGCAAACACATGTGTTACTTGTCACATTAATTCTCTTTTCTTTCTTTTGTCCTTCCTGCCAGCTCTTACAAATCCATTGCAGCTTCTTGCAGCCCAGGCCAGCTCGTCCACTCCTGTTGTAGTCAGCCGGGTATGTGAGACAGGGACCGAAGAGAACAGCAGCAGCCTTCCCGAAGTCAAGACAGCAGTGAACCTGAAGTCAAAAGACCCCGGATAGAAGAGTCCAGTGGAGCAGTCCCAGCCCAAACTGGAGTCATCACATCCACAGTGCCACAAGGACAGGCAACCAGTGAATGAAGAACCGGTGGGAGGAGCTGGAGTGGTGCGGGGTGGGCATGGGATGGCAGCAGCCCCTAAAGCAGCTTTCAAAGAAAACAAACCACAACTGTAACAGCTCTAAACATAGCAAATAAAGAGCTCTTTTTAAAGTCAGATTTTTATAAATGGGAGGCCAACAGTTGTTAGAATCACAAGGTGCCAAAAAGAAAAGAATGGAAAACCCCTCCCAAGAACCCATACCTGGAACTCTGTTCTGTCTTTACATATGGGATACTTTTCCTTTTTTCTTCTTTTTTTTTTAAAAGATTCAAAAAAATACAGACAACTGATTGTATGACTGCTGGGATTTTTTTAAACTGTCTTTTCCCCTTTTGGCTCCAAGGGGATGGTATTTGCAGTTCAGCATCTAGAGGAATGTAACACAAATACAGTCTGCTCCCTGGAAAGAAAACTCCTCATTTTCTATGCCTTAATACTGCGCTTCTCAGAGCTTTGAAACATAGGACCATTTTTAAAAGGCCAGCTAAGGCAATCAAATACTGAAAGATGGGTGCAGTATCTCACAATAACAGCATTAAAGAAACATGGTACCAAGCTTAAAGAAAAAGGCAAATGATCTTTTTTTTTTTTCCTAAAACAGAAAAATTCTGAGTATGAATGAATGTTTATTTATGTGGGGATTCAGGGGGAAGAGTTAAAGGGCTCAACCACCTGGATTTCCAGATGCAATTTCTCTGCATTCCCTCTGAGGGAGAATAAGATGACAGAGGAACTGTGTTAATTTGGTTCCTGTAAAGATATTAAAGGGTTTTGTACCTTCAGTGATTTCTTACAATGATTCATCACTTATTCTGGACAACAGCCGAAGTATCTCGATGTCTGAGGATTGCGTGGGGAAGGGTGTCTCCAAAAGGTTGCGTGTGTATTTTTACTTTTTCTGTAATCACTTACTGTGCTGGAGCACCAGGGTTTGTTCCAAATAGCACTGCAGATCAGAGGCATTCCCACTGTCTCAGTAAACCTGAGAAAATGTCAGGTTGGTTAACTGCATTAACGCGGTCTGCTTTCACCCTCTGTTGGTAGTGTGGTCCTCAACGAGATGGATGATGTCCAGGAGGCCAGAGGTGGGTTAGAAATCTGTCCCTGACCCTCTCCCGTGGCTGGAAGAGGCTAACAGCAAGGCTCCTGTGTTATTCCTCTGAGAGGGAGGTTAAGGGCTATCATGAGAGGCAGCAGAGTTCATATGGTATTTAATACCAATTCTGTGAGTGTGTGGAGACCAAAGCAAAAAGACCTTTTATTTTCCATGTGGCAAAAGTCATTGCAGGTCTTAAACAGGTTTTCCAAAAGGAATTCAGAGGTTTCCTTTCATTCCTCTGCTCCCTCTCCTGTCTCTCCTACCCTGAGGACTGTTTGGGTTGGCCAGTGGAAGGAGGCTTTTACTTAAAGTGTGTTCCAGGCTCTTCATGTACAAGTACATCTCATGGGTAAAGCAGACTCGGGTCACTTTCACCACGAGGAGGAGTTGAGTGCGTGTAACACTTTGGGACTGGCAAAGAAATCAACTTCTGCATAGCTGCAGCTAACCTCTGTGGGTTTACACCTGCGTGTGATTCCTTTGGCTGGCTTGTCTTTGGCAACACAGCAGAGATCTTAGAAAATGTTCCAGCTTTGTTAATGGCAAAAGTGACATAACAGGGCTGGGGTATGTCTTCGGTAGGTTATCCCTCTACCTGTGCTGATACGTTGTCAGGGTTACTGTCTTGCAGGATTGGACAGTGCTGTCACAGAGCAGAGACGAGCCCACTGCATAAACATTTGGCAAGATTTCCCCAATATGCAGTAAATTATACTTCCAGTTTGTCCTTAGGGATTAAGGGGTAAAGCACAACACGTTAATGTCTTCTAAAATTTGGGGAGGGGGAGAAAATCCACAAGGTAACAGCTGGCATCACTTCGAGGTTTCCTTTCTGTTTGCCAAATCCTACTCAATAGTTAAGTCCTAGCACTGGAATAAAACCTAAGTGTGTTTTATTCTCAAGCCAATTGTTTTGTGAGAAATATTTCCGAAAGAAGGAAAGAATTTCTTGGTCTTGTGATTCGCGGTTACAGTCTATGGTTACAGACACACAAAGCATTCAGGACAGTTCATTCATCTACAGCGAGGCCTTCATAATTTAGGCGTGTGCCTTTAGTGACACGTTATTAGATTGGATTTTAGTACCTTGAAATCATTTCTGTGAAGGAGGATTGTTACAGACCACAAAGTAATTGAAGCAGGCCGGTTTCCAGCTGTCACGTTTCCCGCTAGGAAAGCGAGGTGCAGCACAGTGGAAAAAGCACATGGATGTGTCCTGTGCTTTCTGTAGCTTTCTCAAAGCCAGAATTCAATAAAACAGACTTCAAGGAAGAACAAACGAGTGAGAGTGCAGCATAGCTTATCTGTGATTAATCGTTACTTTTGGATGAATGCTGTTTTAGATCCAGGCACGCCTCTGAAACCGCCCCGAGGCGAGGGAGCTTTCCTGCAGCAGTCTTTGGTTTTCCAGGACGTTAGGTGAGTCAGCACAGGATGAGCAACCAGCAGAATGCTGTTCAGGGTGTGAGGCTGCCAAAGTTTGGGGGGATATCTTTACTGCTTCTCTTCTTTTGGAAAGTCTAAGTAATTAGGACCTAAACTATTCAACACCAGAGGAATACATCAGCTGAACCATGGTGTTTCCATAAACCAGCTGCTACTTTATAGATACCTCTCAAGTCTGTCCTCAGGTTGACTGTATAGATTTGCCTCCTCAGTATTTCAAAACAGAATAATGCTTCCTCAGTCTTCCTTCTGTGGCTTAGTGCCTGGTGGCTAAAATGCAGGTTTGTGATAAGCAAATAGCTCTGATCTGCTCGCCCATTCTTCTTGAGGTGCCTGGAACCCATCAGTTCATCCTATTGGGATTTTTTTCTTTATCAGTCTGGTGCATTCCACTGCTACTGTAGAAAGCAGACATGCCACTTAATTATTTTTTTTTTTACTTTTTTTTGTAGGCTTGCCTATACGTTGTCTTATATCACTGCCTGATATTAGATAAAATATCAGTTCTTACAAAAACCCTGCTGAGAGCTGCGGGAAAAATGTTTGTTCTCATCTGCAGCACAGGAGGGATGGCACATCGTATTTCAGGCTTCCAGATGAATTGTTTCAACACACTGCTCAGTCTGGATAGCAGCGTGCTTAGAAAAACAGGCCAGACAAGAGAAGCCTCAGACAGTGGCAAATCATAAAAATGAGTTTGAATCTTTTGGCTTGTTCTTGAATCACAGAATAGTTTGGGATCTCTGGAGATCATTTTGAGTAGATAACTTTTTGGCCTCTTTTAAAATGCCTTTGCAGTCCTTTAAAATACAGGGTAATATATGTACACACCAATTACACGTTTGCTGATATTTTTAAAAACTTTTTTGAGCTCATAGTTGAAAATAAAAATGTTAGCTGGAACAGGCGGACATCGAAATGCACTGTATCAGCAAATCTTAGCAGTTTGTGGATGGAAGTATGAGGTGACAGAAGTTCCCAGAAGTTTGTTGCCATTCCAGGAGCAGCTGCCATTTAAATAATCCTCCCTCGCCCTGAGGATTGCATTCAGTATCGTGACCAAAAGACTAGATAAGCCCTACTTAATGGGGTGGAGGCATGGGGGTGGAATTGCTGTCAGTGTCTAGGATTCAAGCAGGAGGTTTTGGGCTACTCCCTTCGCTTCTCCAAGCCATCTCTCTTCAGCTCGATGTCGTTCCTGCTTCACTTTTACTCGACTTGGTTCTTCTCTGATTAAATCCAGCGCGATTTGAAGGTTATCTTGAAAAACAAGTTGACTTTTTCTGCGCGAGTGTGTTTGCATGCAGCTCCATCTCAGTGTGCTGTCGCCTGATTTCCCTCCTCATCAGCGCTCTGTTCACAGAACTGTGATGCTGTGGGGATGGGTTTTCCCTGCAAGAAAGACAGTGTTGTCTCCCCAGGGAAACCATTAGAATCTTCCTAAGAAAAGTTGAATTGGAAAATTTTCATCTTCTGTTTCTAATTGATTATTGGTACCATCAAATGCTGTGCTGAGGTGAAAATCCTAAACAGAGTCTCTGGTTTGAAATTTCTGTTTCCGTTTTGCTTCTTTTTAGTGGCACTGCTCTTCCTCATATATCCTGATTCCCCAGGCTTTCAACTCTGAGCACTGCAGAGGAATGAAAATTAATGTGATGGTAGAGTTCGGCTTTCAGCTACAGAGAAAATGCTGCCTTAATGGTTATATGCAGTAGTGGGGTCGTATTAAATCAATTCTCTAACTTTTTTGTCTAAGGAGTTGCATCTCGTGTCCTCAATTAATTGACTGAGGGAGGTTTGATGGGGAGAGGAGTAGGAGGTTTCAGTGCATCTTCTGCTATCTGTATAACAAAGGTCAAGGCATGTGGAATATTTAACCTGCCATAACTTGGACATGGGAAGACCTTAAAATTGGGTTCACAAAATGTGAATTCTCTGTTCACTATGCCTTTTTTTTTTTTGTCCAAGGCAATGACAGAGAGTTTTACTTTGATTGTGGTCAGTTTATAGCAAGTTTTGTTGCCTCAGTTAGCAGAAGCTGAATGCAGTTGTTCTTGGTTTTATTCAGACTGAATTCCTTAGTCATTGTTTTGTCTTGTCTTTGTCTCTTGTGATACAGGAAGTTTTCCACAGTGATAACACAGTGCTGGACCCAGAAATGAGTTTTTATAGTGATAACACAGCACAGTGCTGAACACAGAAATGAAGTTCTTGATTAGCTCATATATTCTTTTCTACTCCTCCTTCTTCCCATATCCCTCCTTCCCCCTTACAATTAATGCTGTCGCCTGTAGCATACACAGTCATTTTTATCCACTAGCAGGAGCAGCACCTTGCATTAAATTCTGCCCAAGGACTTGTGGATGAAAATACCTGTGGGGATACATAGGGCTTGAATTGAATAAGGTCACCCTAACTTAATTTTCATGATGTATTTTAGAAATGTTACTGTTGGAGACAGCCAAGGAGAGGAGTGTTGGGCACTCTCCACTGTTCAGGAGAGTGTTTTTGGAACTATGTTAAAGCTTTGTAAGAGAGGAGAAATAGCTGAATAACACCTGATGCCTTCACAGTGTTTCTGCAGTCAATGCCATGGGTTGGCTCCAGGTTTTTTGAGGGGAGTAAACTTGGTTTTGCACGTGTCTCAGACATCTGTCTTGTGTACTTAGAACTGTCATTCAGAGTTTACTTCCACATTTTCCCCCTTTTTTTTTAGTAGGGAAATACCTGCAGTAAAATAAAACTGGAAGCACTAAAGGCTAGGGAACTGTGTGTAAGCAAGTGAGGGTGGCTGACCTGAGCTTTCGTGCAGTGATGTATGAAGGATGCTCATTGCATCCCTGCATCGCTGCCTCTGTATCGCTGCACACCTCTGAGAAGAGCCTGGCTCTGCCTTCTCAGCGTCTTCCAAATAGGCAATTGACATCAGTAAGGTTCCCTTCTCTCTTGCTTTCTCCTCCAAAGGCTGAACCAACCTGGTCAGTTCATAATAATATAATTCTATTCATAATAAGATAATTCTATTCCAACGTGGATCTTACCTTGAGCTTCTACACTGATGCACAATTCCACAGGTCTGCTAATCCTGCTGCTAGTAAGTTGTACTTGGGCATTAAGAAGGAATTTCTAAAGGAACACGACTTGGTTTCATGACTTTGTCCTTGCCTCACACTGAGCTTTTAAGGTTGCAAATGCCATCCTGCAGCAAATGATCCGTCTTCCCTTGTCAGCCAGTCTCTTGGGCAAGCTCCTGCTTCTGCTCCCTATCCCGGTTTTCCCTCTGTACTTGTAGTTGTTTCTATCAACTCTGGATTCCTTTAAAGTTAATGCAATTGCTTGAAGGTCTGCATCTGGCGAGAATCTGCGTGTTAGGTTGCAGTTACACAACAGATTGTTCAGTCGTGTAACTTCTTGTTTCCTTCTGGGTAAAAATTATGCCAAAGCTGCTATTACTGTAGCATACACTACTGCCATAAAGCGTAGCTTACCGTGGAGCCAGCTGTGCTGTGGAAAACAGTCGTACTACAATGTCATTGGGGTTTGTGGAACTGATGAGGCTGGGAAGTGATGCTTTCTTGCAGTTTGGTCAAGACCTGATCAAAATGTAGCTGTGGCTTTGTGCTGGAGCATCCCCTCGCTGCGGCTGCCTAGCAGCTGCTGGGCTGTGATTAGTTAGCTCAGCAAACTGTCTCTCTGCCGGGTGGGTTATTTGCAGGACAGTGCATGTGTTTGGGCACACACGTGGGTATATGCACATATAGTAATATGATATGGTGGAAAATAGCTAGCTGTGATGGTGGGCTTTCTCTGGTAGCTTGTTTTTCATGGGGAAGTAGTAAAGCAGTGAGCATTTCACTTTGGACTGAGCAAGACATTTGGACAAAATACTAGGTTTTCTTGGAGCACTATTGGTTAGATTCCAAATTTTTAATCAACTTGATATTTAACCTTTTGATACCTTTTAAATTCACAAACACTGAACTAAATCCTTCAGAACGTATGGCTGGTCCTCTCCTTACGTGTCACTTTAAGCTGCAGAGGGTTGTTGTGCCACATCTACCCCTTCACTCTCGAGGTAGAAAAACCATTGGCAACTAATTCATGGGTGGCAGCTAAGGTAGAAACCCTTTTAATATTTTTTTCAGAGAATATTAAATTAGATCTGTGTAAACATAAAATTTATATTTATTAATGTGTGTGTGTGAGTGTGTAAATATAGATATATAAATGGTCCATGACTATTTCTTTCTCTTAAATGGTACTTTACACAGACTTTTTATACAATATGTTAGTAAATTCCCGCACCAGACACTGATTCTAAAAGAATGATGTTCCTATTTTTGTAACAGATGTGGGCAGCCTGTAGAAGCAGCTTTACTTCAGCGGTTGCTTTCATTCCTCTCACAGAGCAGAAGAGATGATGTGGTACTTGCATCTTCCTCGTGCAGGAGCCCTGCTTCTGGCTTTGTCGTGCTTTCAGCAACCCCAGTCTGTGCTGCTTTTCTGGCAAGAAAATCCCCAAAATGGCACTAATGAAAGCTGGAAGCCTTTCTAGTCTCATATTATCTCTAGATGCGGTATCAGGGAGCTCTTTACAGATTCTGCTCTGTAAGTAATGGGACCTTATTGCAACAGAGGAAATTGATGGAGGGTCCGTGGGGATGCTGTGAGGTTGAGGAATTCCTCCCTGTCTGTCCGTCTGTCAGGTGGATAAGCTAGCACTGGTGCACTGAGAAAGAGTTTCTTTTCCTCCATGGTGAGATTATTCTCCTTTTGCAATACTTTTCTCTCTTTATGTGGTGCATGAGGTGTGTGTATACCCTTAAAAGCAAATATGTAAGGTTTTTCTAATGTTCACATTCACAGAGAGTGAATTTTACCTTACCGGTCAAATTTCAGTCCTGTTTAACTCCTGCATTTTGACCTACTTGGGCCTTTTGAGAACTATTCTTAAAACAGATCATCCTTGGTTTCCTAACCCTTAGGGCTCTTACAGAAGTAGCAGTTCCTTTGTAAGGACCTGAGTGAATGCTTTGCCTCGGTTTCTCCTTACTTTCTGGTGGTTGGGCTTAGATATGTAAGGGAGAACAGGATATTAAGGTGATAGGAAGAGTAACCAAAATAAGGGCATAGAAAGGAAACGGCTTTCCTCCTCAGCAGAAAAACAAACGCCCTTGCAAGAAACAGATTTCCCCTAGTATTGGATTCTTTGTCTGCCACTGGATTAAAGAATGCACCCAGTACCCCAGACCTTGGCACCCTTGCCAAGATCAAGACCCTTATTTTCACTTCTACCCCACTTGGTTTCATTTAAAGCAGTCCAAAAGAGAGCCTTCCCTAAAGCTAAGGGCAATGTTGAGGAGAAACGTCTGTTAGCTAAAGAAAAATGAGATTTAAATGGAGCAGAAAAAGTGACATTTCCTTCTGTTTCACTGCCTTGCTGCTAAAAGTCTGGTGCAGAAGATCCTGATGTTCTGCTGATCTATGTGCTGCTCCTCGGATGTGGACAGGCTGCTAAGTAGGCAGGTTGGTTCTGTAGCAAATGGCTTGCTGTAAGCCTAAACTCAGTCTATTCCTCCCCTCCCTGGTGGTCTTAAAGTGAGGGGAACCAGAGTATTGTTTGTAAGATCTTTTTAATGGAGAAAAAAAAAAAAGTTAAAAAAAAAAAAATAGTATTCAAATGTACTAATATGGAATGGTTTTAAAATACAAAAATCTTACAAGACAGTAGGTTGTCTTGGTTTCTGGACGTGCTGTTTGTACCGTGATGAGGCTGGCTGTGTCCAGCCTGCCAACCTCTGCGTAGCTGAGAAATGTGCTCAAGAGTCTGCAGCTATCCAAAGAACTGTTACCCAAAGGACTATCAAAAGCTGTTTTAAGATGAATCAAAAGATACACGAGCAACGGATGGTAAAGCTGGAAGTCCTGGTCAGATTCTGCAATGTTTGCTTTAAAGAAGAAAAAAAAAAAAAAAGGCAAAACAATCAAGAATTGGAGTCTTCACCTGTTCTGTGCGAATGCATTCCCACCGAGTCCTCCAGGGAAGGCTGCAGTGAGACAAGGACCTGGAATACCTCAGTGGTTTGACGGACTTGTTGACTGGTTTTGCTACGGAGATGGAGAGGCAAACCTTACCCCCTCTCCTAGATTTGGCACTTAATTTAAGGAATCGTGTGATGGGGCGGGCTAAAGCCATGCTTGCATTTCAGTTCATGGTTTTGCCTGTACAAGACACCTCCAACAGTTGTTGTTTTTTTTACAGCCGATATCAAAAGTATTTTTTGTGACTTGTTTTCATTATCAGTGCTTTTTGCAAAGCAGGTGCGTATCCCAAAGGGGGAAGCTCCAGCTGGGGCAGTGGATGTGAAGTTCGTCTTTACCAGCCACATTGCAGCACCGCTCCTGGGAGATGCTGAACCACATGGGCAGACCCTGGCTCGTGTGAGGGGGTCAGCTGCATCCCAGCGGTGCTGAGACGGCGAATACAAGCATCCAAGGAGCAGGACCTGCATTTTCGCATCAAATGGGATACAGTGGTTATGTTTTTGTTTTTGTTTTTTTAATATGGAGCCATACTTTTTTTTAAAGTAATTTGAGATCTGAATGTGATTTCTAATGTATCAAGAACGTTAATATTTTAAAGCTATAACAAAGTTTTAAATTTCTACTATTTTTTTTTTCATTTATTTTAACTGTTCTGTTCTGTTACCTTAATTTTGATGTATGTGGTTGGGGAGTGTTGCTTCTCCTCTTAGCATTTGTTTCTATAACCAGAAATAAAATTATATATGAAAGAGAAGAGACCCTGAAATAGCTTGCTGCTTTTGAGTGACAGACTTGCATGCTTCCAGTCTAGTACTGAAGGGGGGTTAAGATTCCTGCAGCAGTCGGTGGTCAAGCCTGGCACCTTCTCACAGTGAACCTCATGCAGTTGATCCTTCTGGACACAGCACTGTCTTAACAAGTTGTGGTTGGCTTCAAATGAAATGCAAACCTTCCTAATAATGCAAAGCCAGTGATTTTGGCAGCTCGCTATTCCACTCTGACTGAGCAAGCAGGTATTTTTTCCTGTAGCAGATTTTATTAGGAGAGAGTAATCTTGCATGTTTTCCCCTCCATTACCTTCATTGAATCATGTAGGAGGGAAGTGTGTGTTTGGACAAGTAGCTGGATTTCAGAGTTTACAGATATCTGTACAAGTGTTTGAGATACATAATCCTCCCTTTGGGGATTATAAACCATTCCTCAAACTCTAGGTTTCATTTCATCAGGAACCGAAACATAGTGGTATTTTGAAAGGTAAACTACTTTGGTATATTTGCCTAGAATTGATAATAATTGTTTTGTTCATGTATATAAAGACAAAATATTTCTGTATCCACTCTACCGAGGTTAAATAGTTACCTTTGTCCTTCCCTTGTCTTTGTGAAGGAGGTAGAATTTAAGTTCTTGGTTTATTTGACTAATGAAACACATTCTGAGTTCCAACATTGAATAGCTGTTTTTTTTTTAAGACCACAGTTGACATAAAGTAGCTGCATATGACTTAACATTTCCAAATGCTTAAAACAGAAATGTTTGCTGTGGAGCAAAGATATTCACCCAGAGCCTTTTTTTTTTTTTTTTTTTTTTTTTTGGCATCTTAAAATTGTCCTTTCATCTCTGGCTCCCTGTGCACATCAGGCATGTTTCCTAATGCAGCCAGAGGAGAAGGCGTTTGGGAAAATCTGAATCTTCTGCTTGCTCCCCTCTGTGCGTCAGCCTGCTGCCTCTAATAGCTTTGACTGCTAACAGCTGGGATGATGGATGCTGCTGCTGCCGCTTCTGAGGGCGAATGGGAGCTGATGCTTTGGTGGCTAATTGCCAAGGCACACTGTTAATGAACTTTTATGCTGGGGGAACCGTAGGGCAGAGAAGTACCAGAGGGCAACGCGCCAAGCTGCCTGGCGCAGCGTCCTCTCCTCCCCACAGGCTGATGCAGAGCGCTGCAGTAAGAGCTTCAGGCTTATTAGCAGTCAGGAGGAAAGACGTGTCTAATGGGGAAATGTTAATGCCTTTTAACCTTTTGGAAGCTGTGGAGACCACCTGCCGAGCAGCTATTTATATCATCTCTTGCCCTTTTTGGAGAGCATCGTTTTTGAACGGGTCACAGAAAAGGCTGATGGCATCTTCTGTTGTCACGCTTTCTGCTGTGTCTCTGCCGTGCTTTCTTGTAGGTTTGAATCCTGAGAGCTCTTCTCCTTAATGCTGTGCAGGATGGCATCGGAGCCAAGCTTTGCTTCGAGCTCCTGAACGAGGTGCCTGATGTTTGTGCTGGCTGGAGGCCCTTCTGTAGGGCTCCTGGCCACAGTGAGGGCTGTGCTCCTCACCACGTGAAGACCCAGAGCTGCCCTTCTCCCACCTGGGGAGTAATACCAACATAATCTCAAAACAAATTTACGCAGTGCGTTTTTCCATCACCCCTTTTGGGGTCGTTCAGCGTTATTTCTCCCAATGCCCCCCCGCCCCCCACCTCCCCGGAACCTTCCCTCGGGGGCGGAACCTTTGTAGCAGCACCGCGTCCCCCCGGAGCCATCCGCAGCGGACCGCCCGCCTCTGGGGGGCCGCTTTGGGCGCGGACCGGGGCGGCCGCCATGTTCTCGGCGGCGGCAGAGAGCTTCCTGAGGCAGGCCCGGTACCGGCGGCACGGTTTGGGGGGGGGGGGGCACGAATCGGGCCGGTCGCTGAGCTTTGTGAGGCTTTGTGAGGGCCGGAGCTCGGCCCTAACCCCCCTGTCGGCTCTCTCCCCCCGCAGGGAGGCCCAGCCGGAGGAGCTGCAGAGGTTCGCCGCCCGCGTCGCCGCCCAGCTGCAGGGCCCCGAGCCGGGCCCCGAGGCCGCCGCCTGCCTGCAGAGGCTGCACCTTGTTGTCGCCGCCAGCAAGTACCCCCGCAGGTCGGTGCGGGCCTCAGCGGCTCTCTGGAGGCCAAACGTTACGGTTTGGGACAAAGCAGGGGGCTGGTGCTTCAAAAAGCACCCTCTCTGGTCTTAAAATACTGGGTTTGGTGTAAAAATAAAGCCTCCTTGGCTGCTTTTTCCCATTCCAAACTAGAAAGCAACCACCTTCTTTTGCAGTGTGTGAAGCAAGCGTTTGTGTCCCTGCACTCCTTCAAGCTGTGTGAAGGGACAAAATTCCAAAGTGAAGATAATAATTGACACATTAACCAGGGTTTCAGTCACGGGAGATCGTCCCAAGGCCATGAATATTCAGAAAATAAACGTATCAATCTGTTGTTGCCTTGCATTGATGCATTACTGTGATGTTGCAGGCTAGATGGCGAGATTGTGGGCCTGCTGCAGAAGGTGCTATGCTCCCCCAAGTGTCCCGAGCAGATTCAGTTGTTATGTGCGGCCATCCTGAGAGAGATGTCGCCGTGCAATGACCTGAGCCTCTCTTGTGAAAACATTCAAGACCCGAAGCTCCTGAGTCTGGTGTCCTCTGTCCTTTTGGCTCAGGTAAATGACACGCAAGCCAGAAGTGTTCCCTCATCGATAGGGATTTGTTTTCTGATTCTTTGTTTTTTTGTTGAGCTCAAGTAGAATGAAAAGTAGTTGAAAACACCCAGGAGAAGCCAGAATTATTTCTGTGCTCATTTAAGGAACTTAATTGTTCTGCTTTGTGTAGGGAAAAAAAAAGGTGCTTTTATTTTCCTTCTAGTATTTGATAACAAAGACTGCTTAAAATTACACAGTCTCTAGGGGCAAGAGATGTGTCAGCAACACAAATAAGCAGCGCTGTCATTTGCAATAGGTAGCAGCAATATATCTGTGGGGTGGGGAGAGGTTGTCTCGTCCTTTTTCCTTCACTGCACAGATCCACAAACCTTAAAATTCCTTGTCTGTATGTTCCTTTCATCAATTTATCCCCACCTATTTGCTAGAGAAGCACGTAAAGTAGCCCCAGTCGTAGATGAGGTTCTGACATGAAGTTTCTCACTGGAAGCTTGCCTGTAATTTCCTAATTGCTTCTAGCGATCAGGTACAGATCTGGCTATTAGATGGGGAGTGTCGGAGTTTGGTGTTTGTTCACTGCCTGCAGCAACCAGCTGTCCAAGACCCTGAGCAGCAGAGAAGGTTTACTTTTTGTTGGCGTGATGACATTTGCAGGGAAAGAAAATCTCTGGGAAGGCTGAGCCCACCTGTCATCGCTAACAAAGTCAGCTTGGACAGAAGGGTCTGATGGCGTCTCAGAACCACAGCTATAACAGCTTTATTTTCCTCGTTGTGAGGATACATCCTGAGCAGAGAGTCCTCTGATGTGTTGCAGCAGTCCATTTTCTGTTCCTAAATTCCTGACTTACCAATTGAGCTAGCAAACAGACCACCTTGGGAGCGGTTAATGCTCTCTGCTCTCAAAACGATGGCTCAGAGCAGTGTTTAATGTGAGGACATCCACTGCAGTTTTTAATTTCCACTTGAGGTGATGATTGTCCACAGACATCTTGCTCCATCCAAGTACTCTCCCGCCCTGGGATCTGTGGATTCACATTGCAGAAGAACTCTGTAATGGGTGATAAAATAGCCTGTGAGTTCTTTTTATCTTTGACATCGGTATTGGTACTTGATCAAAGAGTTTTGTTTTATGTAGTGTTGGTCTCTAGCACCGTTAGATCACCTGCCTACCTTTACCTCTGCTTTACTTTGAAGGGAGACAAGGCTGAAGTGGCTGCTGTGGGGCAGCGTGTCGTGAAAGTCCTTGAAGGAAGGCTGCCCGAGGGTCAGAGTTCTCGGTACCTTCTTCCCATCTTGTCCAACGTCATCAGTCTTTCACCAGAAGCTCTAACTGAAGGTAAATATATAGGAGACCCGGGACTGCTGTCTGGCAGTGATCTGTGGAGTGATCAGAAGGGTCTCTGAGGGCTTTGGATGTGAGCAGGACTTGGAAACGGCTGTTAAAAGTGACGTCTCTGCCACAGGGAAAGTGAACTTCTCGGGGGAGGTACATTCCACCCCTTAAAAACTGGGCTAGGGCCTTCAGCTGCTTGGATTCCTTCCAGGGGCCGGAGTCTCTGCTCTGTGCAGATTTGTGTCAAATGAAGCTGTACCCTAGGCAAGGTTTTCAGATACTGCAGGTGTGTGAAACTGTAGCTGTCCCGAAGAGCTGGCTGAGCAGGCAGGATTACCTGCCTTAGCTTCGGTGTGTCCCATGTGAGGAATTTCTGCCTTGTCTGCAGAGGTGAAGCCAGTCGCTGTCTGGATGGGTCTGACAGTGTTTATGCACCTTTGTCCTAATAACAGTTGTGAGCAGAGACAAAGGAAAAACCATCTCTGGAGTGATTTGGTACCAGAAGTCCTTGGTTCCAGCACTCGCTCCCTGACTTTTTCTCTGAGGAAACAGACAAAACAATAACATGGCCAGCAGGGAGAGGACACCAGGACTCTAACGTGGTGTGAGGAGGGTAGGGCATCCACCTTGGGGTGGATTTCTTTGCTGACAGCTGGATCAGAGACGGGTCTAAGCTGGAGAAAAACCACAGCAATTGAAGGGCAGCGGGGGGGCGTTGCAGAGGCTGCTTCTCTGCTTGGTCTTAGCAATGACCTTGTGACTTTTCTTTGTACAGAGCAGACCAATGTAGTCAGCAAAAAGATGGCCGACTGGCTGAGGTATGCAAGCATTCAGCAAGGAGTCGCTCAGCCTTCTGGAGGCTTCTTCTCCAATCCCAGAACCAGGCAGGTCAGTGTTGAATTGCTGCTGTTACCTCATACAGGCATTTTCTAGTCAGCAGCTTGCTGTTACGAGTCCCCCAAATCAACTTATTTTGATAAAGAAGGGCTCAGAGGAGGTTTCTTTGCCTTCTCCTGTGGTCTCTCCCTGTGGGTCTAACCTGCTGCACCTTTTCTCCCAGCCTGGCCCTGTCACAGAGGTGGATGGTGCCATTGCCACAGACTTCTTCACGGTGCTGTCTCTGGCTCAGCACTACACGGAGGACCAGTGGCTCAACATACAGGCCTTCTCCATGCTGCGGAAGTGGCTGCTGTGCTACGGGGGCAAGGGGTTGAACGCACCCAGTTCAGGTACGAGCTGAAGGGCTGCAGACCGGCGTGGGAAGGAGTATCACAAAACCCCCTGACTGATCCTTAGCGACCCTTTTGTAAGGGGTTGCTAACTCAGTGGGTTCCCCAGTTTCAGGCAAAATGCCATGAGTCCCTGAGAAAAAAGGCTCAGGGGGTGGAAGACAACATCTCCTTATAGTTCCTGTGAGAAAACCTTCTACCCCAACATCCTTTACTTCTCAGTGCACCTGGGGACAGACAGCTCCCTCTCTGTTGCTCAGCAGCTAGCGAGCTACAGTGCCCGTGATGGGACCTCATATGTGGTAATCGTTTTTTCTGTAGGTAGCCGATCAGAAATGGACAAATCTGTTATGTCCATGGTCTCAACTGCATCCACATCCAGTCACCTGCTTCCCCCGAAGGAGCGGCTCCGGGAGAAAAGCCTTCGAGTACTGCCAGCGGCTTATTGAGCAGAGCAACAGGCGTGAGTTTTGCTTGGAGCCTTCTTGGTAGTGTTGTTGAAAATGCTTCTGCTTTGCTGCTTCTGTGGGCTGGGATCTCACTCTCTGGAGCCCACAGGCAGGCTGGAGACACGGGACTGGCTGCAGCTGCTGGTGAAAGCCAGTGACCATCCCCGGGCTGGGATTTTGGGAGGGATTTAGAGGCAATGCCCTCGTTTTGCCTCCAACCCTTGATCTGCAGGGGAGCTATAGAGCCTGGTTCTTATTAGCCTGGAATTGGGATCAGTATGTATTCCCACCTGTCTTGAAATTTGGATTAGAGTTTAACTTTGACTTCTGTCTCTGGCAGAGGCCCTGAAGAAAGCTGATGGAGACCTGCAGAAAGCTGTAAGTACGCAGAGGTGGGGCTGAAGCTCTGGGAAGCTGTGCCATGGCTTCCCCCACTCTGACCTGACTCTCTGTTCTCCTGCAGTGTCTCATTGAGGCGGTGACCATCATGGACATCATCTGCAAACAGGACTCCTCCTACGTGTACCGCGCGGCTGCCTTCCTGAAGGTCCTGCACAGCAGGATCAGCAGCGATGCCACTTATGCCAGGGCTCTGCTGCCCATTGCCCAGTTCTTCCTGAATCACGGTGAGCCATCAGCTCTCCCCCTCTCTTCCAAGATCTAGCATTCTAACAGCACAGCCTTTTGTCCTGGCAGTTTGCTGGCTGCCAGAGGTCATAATTGAGCCTTGGCTATACTGTAGGATGGTGATCCCATGCCTGGAGACCCAGGAGCTGGGCTGTCCTCTGTGTGTGTGTGGCTCTTTTTCTTTATTTTGTTGTTTTTGTTGCTTTTTAAGAAAAACATGCTCCAGACTTAGCTTTTCCATATCCCCTAGAGCCCCTGTTGGCAGGGCTGCTGGGTGAGCTGTGCTCAGGAATGTGCTGTATCCTCCCAGGTGAGATGGCAGCTGTGGACTCAGGATGCAATCTACAAACACTTATTCACTGATATCCCGGCTCAGCTCTTCCACAACGCATCCCTGGCCTTTGAATTTGTCCTGTTCTGCAAAGAAAACAGCCGGCTCTTCACTGAGACCTCCAGCATATTCAGGCAGAGCTTCCCAAACCTCTTTAAGGTACAGTTTGCAGGAACAGCACAGGAGACAGCCTGCTGCACTTCGCTTCTGTGCCTCTAGAACCTTCTGTTTGCCCTTCAGCACACCCCAGAGCCTGCTCTGTGCCTCTGTGAGAGGTGAGAAGCAAGTGTGAGTCTGAGGTGGAAAGAGGGTTCTGATTGTGATTAGCACTGCCAGGAGAGGAGAGTCTGGTTTAGTATTACAAGCAGTGAGCACAGTTGGGACACAGCAGTTTGTTTTTGGTAAACTTCAAGAAGTTGCAGCTTGGCAGCCACTGAATCAGCTGCTAGATGCATGTGGTGAGCCACCAGCAAAATCCCCAGCTCTTCACTGAATCCCTAGTTTTCTCCGTTTTTGCTCTTTAGAAGTGGCTTTTCCCTTTCCCATCCCTTTTAATCACAGTTTGAGAATTGTCTGGGCTGCATGGTGGAGCACAGGGGACAGGACAGTACAGAACTTTTTTGCTTTTTTTTTTGCAGTTCCTGGCGTGGAACAGCCCACCTCTTATCTCTGAGTTTGTGGACCTTCTCCCATTTCTGCTGGATGCAGGTACAGCCATTGAGATCTTCCATTTGCTGCTTGACCTGCCCTGCCTGACAGCGGCTCTGGATGTCCAAATGAGGTAATGCTACCTTCTCTTCCTCTCTTCTTCTCTTCCACTTGCTAATCAGAGTCTTGACATTGACCACACTCTTCTCTAAGCCTCAGCTGCCCTCTGGCTGCTGCTGTCAGAGAGTGAGAGGAATTTATTGCAGTCAGGTTAACACAAAGCTGCACAGGCATCAGCCTGGTTATCCCAGTAATGTGGTGTGCATGGGAAGAGAGGTTAACCAGCTCTTACTCTTTAATACTGGACTGCCTCTGAGGTTTAGGGAGTTGTAATTCCCCTCTCTATATCCAGCTCCAAACTGTTGCCTCGTGCTGCTTGGAGTGTCTGCATGTGCCACTGCCTTGACACAGAGGTGTGGACTAGCTAGTCTTCCCTCCTTGCCCTTACCCCTTTTTAGTGCCTCTGTTCTCCTGGAGGCAGACAGAAGTTCATTCTAAAGTCATTAGGGAGTGGAGGAGTCTGTATCCTCGCTCTTCATTTTCTTCCCTGTCATTAGCAGCTCCTTCTGGAGAGCTTAGAAAAGGGAGTCATCCAAGAAGCAAGAAGTTGGTGGGCTTTGGTGCCTGAGGGTGCAGGGTGTCATTTTCCTATTTCCCAGAAGTGATACAGAAGCAGTTCTGGAACTATTGCCTGAATCCAGGGCTCTGAGCTCAGTGTGGGGACTTTTTCTCATCACTTCAGACACTCTGGTTCTCTGGCTTCCAGGGTGCCTGGGTTAGACCAACCTGCTGTCCCTGTTTCAGTGTTAAAGATATTCCACTGTTATGATCCAGCTGCAGCCTGGATCATTCTCACAATTCATCACGTTCTGTGTTTGCCTCCTGCTAGGTCAACCTCTGCTTCCGAGAGGGCTTCCAGCGACCCCGCTGTGAAGCCAGCCACCTGCCTGGAGGCCTTTCGCCATCCCCTCTACAAGAGTGCCTTCCAGTACCTCCTCCGCATCGAGTCTGCTCCTGAAGAGTCTCCAGAGAGGTAGGAGGCTGATGCAGGGGACTGCCACGAGGGTTTGGGTCAGCTTTCCAGGTCTAGGAGGCAGCTCTGGGACTGCTTGAGAAAGGCTTTGTGGGGCATGTAGGGAAGGGAGGCCTGGAGAATAGTTGGGAACAGGCCTTTTTTGTTGCCCACAGGCTGATTCCACTTCGGCAGCTGCTGGGATCTCTGGCCAGCAGCCCAAGGGTTGTGCAGTGTGCAGATACCGTCCCTGTCTTACTGGAGCTCTTTTTCAGTGTGGTGGCAGAGGTAGGCCCTTCTGGGGAAATCCCAGGTGTGCTGTGGGGATTTCTTGTTACATGAAGAACGGTCACAGACACAAAAATACTAAGACACTGCAACTTCAAGAGAGAGATGTATGAGGGGATGATGGGATGGTCTAATTCTAGCCTAGACCACACTGAGCTGCTCACTGCATCCAGAAAGCAGAAAAGCTCCATGGTGCCGTGTTCACACTGTTCTCAGCCAGCTGTAATAAAGGAGGTGCACGTGCAGAGTGAGTGCGTGGCTGCCTTTGTGCACTGCTCCCTTCGTGCTAAATCAGGCTATTTCTATGCTAACTTAGTCTTCTCTGGCTGGTTAGTTTGTTTTTTTGGCTGCTGGGAGTCACTGGTGTTGCTGAAGCGTGGGCTGTTCTCAGTTTGCAGATGGTCCGCTGATAAACCAGCTGGTGGTGCTGCTGCTGCAGAGGAGCGACCAGCTCTACGACATCCCAGCGTTTAAAGATGACGTGCACAGGTGAGACGAAAAGGGAGGCATGGCCATGCTCTCAGCCCTCCCTCTGGCTGTGGCCTGGCTTCCAAGGACAGCCCAGGAGCTGTTTCAGTCGCTGCTGAGGCTCATCTGGGGAGGGTGCAAAGTGGGACCCCCTCAGCCCTGCTGGATCCCATGGTCTGAGCTCTCTGTCTCTTCTCTTCCAGGGTGCTGAGCTCACAGCTGGTGATGCTGTGCAAGCTGCATCCTGCACTCATTGTGGAACTGTCCAAGGAGCTTCTGGAGTTCTCGGGGACTGTCAGCAACATCCAGAACAAGGAGGCTGTCTTCACCCACGTGGTAAGTGGAGCCTGCTTGCGTCTGCCCCAGGGCGCTCCAGCTGCAGTGCAGTCTGTTGGTTGCCTTCCCTTTCCTCCTCTACTCTGTCCTAGCATTAGATACTTTGATTTGCCATTCCCTAAAAATGATAAGATCCCATTTCCTGTGCTTTTCCCTGAGCACATTCACCTTTGTTTCAGGTCTGGGCTATTGGAGAGTACATGTCTGTGTCCTACGACAAGCGCTGCACTGTGGAGCAGATCAACAGGTTCTTTGAGACTCTAGAGGCTGTGCTGTTTGAGGTCACCCAGGTCCGACCCCTGGCCAGCATTCCCAGCTATGCTCCCCGTGCCATCACTGTCCTTATGACTGCCTTGACCAAGCTGGCAGCTCGCAGCCAGGACTTGATCCCCAGGTGAGGACAGAGGGCACAGGGCTGAAACACGCGGATCTGATGAGTCCGAGCGCAGATGTTTGCCAGTGTTATACAATGGGACCTGAAACTGAAAGAGGACTAAGAAAAAAGTTGTGGAGGAGCAAAGTTTGGGGAAGTGGGATTCATCTGGTGACTTAACGCTCTGTGCACCAGCAGGAGGGGTGGTTGGCTTCTGGTGTTTGCCTTCAACAAGCTTTTGGGGTACGCAGGGTGTGAAGATCCTGCCAGCTGAAGTTCGTGTCCTTCTCTTCTGCAGAGTGTCCTTGTTCCTGGCCAAGATGAGGACGTTTCTGCAGAGCCCTGCTGTCACCTCTGTGTACTGTGAAGAGGACCGTGAGGAGATCCTTACCCGTGCAACCGAGCTGATGAACCTGCTGAAAATGCCAAGCGTGGCTCAGTTTGTCTTCACGCCATCTGTGGATGCGTCCCGCAGCCGGTTTCAGAAGGAGGTGAATGACACCCTCCCTTCTGCCCTGAGAATAGTGACCCGGCTCCTCGAGCCAGCTCCTGGCTTTGCGTCAGGCTGAGGGTTTGGGGTTGCTGGGAAGCTCCAACCTCATCTGTGACTGATCTGACAAAGCCACACTCGAGGCTCAGGCCCTGCTCTGAGCTGGGAATGAGGAACCATGATCGTGAGTGAAACAGAAACCAGGAATAAGTAGAGCTGAGGCCGCTTTTTTGGTCTGAGCCTGTTTGTACATCTCTCTTCTAGCACTTCTTGTTTTTCTACCTCCTGCGTTTGTCCTACCTCTCCTTGGCCAGTATGGATTGAAAATACCAGTGGATTTGTGTGAATGGGGCGAGTGAGTGAGTGCCTGCATTAATCCCCTGCTAGCACATTTCCTGTGTGAGGTGGGGGAAGCAGAAGTGACTCCATTAAATCTGTTGTGAGCTCTCACTTGGCTTCTGTCTTACTGTCACAGTGAACGTGTAGAAATCCGAGGGACCAGACAAAGAACTTAGAGAGATTTACTGATCCAGTTTATTGTTGACACCAAGAGCATTTCGTAGTGTACATCAGCCCCATGTCACACAGGTGCCATGCTGCGTTCTGTATCTGCACAAGGAGTTTATACACGGTAGAGCTGTACAGTATTAACAAACAGGGAAGTAGATGGGTCCCATTGCTCCTCCCAGGAGAAGCAAGATCTCATGCACAACAGTAAATAGCAGGGTTTATTTACAGGCTGTGTCAGTACCTGACTGCGCTGTGAGCAACATCCAGCTCTGGGGCTGTTTCCAGCCTCCAGGTGTGCCCGGGGAGTCACGCTCCACTGGGGAGCTGAGGATTTTGCTCTGGTACTACCAGAACTGGTCAGGGTGGCAGCCCTGATGCTGTCTAGTGCAAACCAGGCAGTCCCCTGCACCCTAGCTCAAGGGCAGAGGGTGGTAAGGAGTGCATGCAGTTTCCCCAGGGCTTTAGGCAGCCCATTTCCTGCTCCACGGGCCTCAGGAGGGCTCCTGCTGAGCTCTGCAGAGGGTATCCAGGCCAGCCTACTCGATTCAAAGACGAGTGAATCACCAGGAGCCCTGAGCCTTTGCAGCTGAGTCAGTGGCCAAGTGGTGTGGTGTTTTTGGTGCCTGCTGGAGCCAGGCTGGGTGGCACGAGCACAGCCTAGCAGGGCAGCAAGGCACGAGTGTCTCCGTGAAGGTGCTTCGTCCATCTCGCCCTACAAGAGGCAGGCCAGGCTCCTGTTCGGATCCGGTATGTGGAGTTTTTTTCCCTGCATGGATTATTTTGACATCTCTCTCCTGCAAAGTGCGAGTCTAAGCACTGAAACCAAACTCTAGCAGTGAAATATCTGAGGTTTAATTAAGGCCAGCCACTCTAAGCACCCTCTTTTTAGCATCACAATCCTCAGAGAGCCGTTGTGAGATGCCACCTTAATATCTGATTTGCTGCCAGAGCCTGGACCACGCAGGTTTAAGTGCAGGGTGTGATGCAGGGCTTTATGGCAGGCTGTTTTAATAGGGTTCAGCTAAACTAGGTCTCGCCATCCATCTATATGTGGAAATCAGGTCGGGTTTATCCCGTTAATGTCGCTAAAAGCACGCACAGGACAGCAGGAAGGAGGCTGCATGTGCATGGGACCGGGCAGCCGCACGGTGGAGCTGCCAGCTCGGCTCTGCTGAGGTTGCGTTTGCAGAACTGCTGCTGGGACTTGGAGGGGAGCCTGACCTCCTAAAGGGCTCGTAACCTCCCAGAGGGAGCCTGGCCTGGCTGCAGCACGCACTGCTGAGATGCTCTGGGGTGGATAGGAGACAGGGTGGCAGAGCCGGGCAGTAAACCTGCTGCGTGGGGCAGGATGAGAGCACCCCTCTTCTCCCCAGCACTCGGGGAACTGCTGGTGGTGTCAGCCCTTTGCTGAAGCTGCTTCCCATCCCTCTGCCTGGGTGGGGGCAGTGTGGTTGTAGCCCAGCAGCAGAAAGGCACCTGGCTTCGGGTACAGCCCTGGGGACTCCTAGCAAGGCATCCTGCTTGGGATCCCACTCCTGATGCTGCATTTTCCACCCCGGAGCTGGGTGCCTGCGCTGGCGTGCACATTTTCCAGCCTGACCTGCTGCTGTCGCAGTGAACCCCAGGCCTGGCTACGTAATCTTTAAATCCCAAAGCTGTTTCAAGCCTGCCCTGCCAACGTGAAAGAGTAACAGGAGAACTGAAACGCATTCCTGAACGCTTGTGCCAGAGCGAGGAGAACCATGCAGGGCTGCCAGCCTGGAGGAACAGAGGAGCCCGCTTACAGCCTCCGTGGGGCGAGCACCCCTTCCTGCTCTCTGCCAGGGGATGGAGGAGCAGGAAAGCTCCTGAGAAGGATGACACAGGCTGGAAGGTGAGGCCTGGGCGATGGATCAGGAATGCTGCTCCCAGCTGGTGCAGTGGGGAGAAGCGTGCACCACCCTCGTGTGTCCTTCCATCCGCTGCAGCGCAGGGCAAGGCGCTGAAAAGCAAATCGAGGGCAGTTGTGGAAGTCCTAGACCTCCCTTCTTCACTCTGGGCTCCACGAGGTCAGCCTTAACCGGAGCTGCACCCGCAAGCTGCTGCAGAGAGCCCCTTGTACCACCAGAACTAAGAGGAAGAGGAGCTGGAGACGATTTTCTTTGCTATTTCCATGTCTGACTTGGCGACCAGAAACCGCAGCTTCTTCCCTCCGGAGCGGATGAGGTCCACTGCACTGCAGAGAGCGGCAAGGAGGAGAGGTGAACGTTGGGGGCCCAGCCACAGGCTGACAGCCCAAAAAAAATGAGCCCAGCTCTGCCCCTAACACTAACAGCAAGGTGGGTGTGAGCTGCCCTACCCTGCAGCCTGGAAGAGGATGCCCATGGTGGGCTGCACCTGGAGCAGCTCAACATTGCTGAGACCACCTCTGGGGTCAGCTTTATTGCCAGAACATCCTCCAGGTATTTCCTCCCCGCTGCCTCTCCCAAACTTCCCCTATTCCCCCAGGTCCTGCGCAGGTAACCTCACCTCTGGTAGTCGGCCCCGATGAGGCTGGTGCCGTTGACAGCCAGGATGCGGTCCCCGATGGACAGCCTGCCGTCAGCGGCCGCGGGGCTGTCCTCGATCAGGGTGCGGATGTAGATGCCGGGAGAGGTGAGAGGTGTGTGCTGTTGGGGGAAAAGTAGTGAGCGGCCAGGCAGGCCATCTTGTCTGGCTCAATTAGCACGAAGCATCGTTAACCTGGAGCTGGGCTGGGCTGGGAACTGTTCGCTCCCGGCTGTCCCGGGGCTCGGTGACGCCCTGTTTCCTACTGACTAACAAACACACGGTGGTGAAAGGCCACCTTAGTAAGATGCTCCACTGGGTTAAGCCAGATTTCGTGCCAGAGCAGGGAGAGCAGCGAGCACCGTGTCTGACAGCGCTGCTTGGCACCCTGCGAGCCCCTGGACCCCGCCAGCACGGGCAGGGCAGGTCCCCCCCCCGTGCTCGCTTCACCACGCACTGCAGGGCGTAGGAAAGACCTCGCCTGAGTCATTTTCCTTCCACGGCAGCACTGAGCTGTTCGCTCTCGCCAGCTGCAGAGCAGCTGTGATGGGCCTGGCACTCAGCAACGCAGCAGCAGGGATCTACCAGAGATCGCTCCGTGCCTCGTTTTCCCCAATAAAAGCTCCTCGGCTCCGTGCAAAGCCATCACCTTGCCTTGAGGTGTGAACCGTTCCCTCCCAGGGCAGCCCCTCGCAGGGCCGTGGCACCGTCCTGGGGCCGGCAGGGACTCACCAAGCCGTCGATCAGCCCCATCCCCAGCCCCAGGGGGCCTCTCTCCAGCTCCACCACGAAGACGTAGCAGAAGTCATCGGTGGCAGAGCTGCGGCTGGAGGATTCCGGCGTGGGGTAATCGTAGGGGGTGGGCGAGCAGCCTGCCAGCGGGGACACCGGGTTATTATCGCTCTGCCATCCCCCAAACTCAGCCTTACAATTCCTCCTGCACCCCTCCAAGGGTACCTTCAGGGGTGCTGCTTTTGGTGCCGTTCATCCCGTTCCTCCGCGGGTCCTGCAGAGCCTTGCCAGGTGCCCTGCGGGGACTCCAGGGCTGGCGGAGTCGAAGTTCAGGGGGGTGGTGGGGGGCGTCAGCAGGCAGGAGGGGGCCAGGGGGGGCCGTGCCCCTGCCCAGCTGCAGCTGCTGGAGCTTCTCCTGGAGCTGTGGCTCTCCAGCAGGGGTGCTGCCGGGGGCAGCCGTTGGCAGCCAGGGTGGGCAGGGGGCTCCCGTCCACCTCCGGCTCCGTGCAGCCCCCCGGGGCTGCCACCAGGCTCACGTTCTCTTCCAGGACTTCTGGCGTCGCGCGTGGCTCTTTCTTAAAAAGGAGAAAAAAGATACCCAAAAAACGCTCTGTGGGATCATGGGCGGGTGGGTGTTGTGCCCCCCGCCATCCCCCGGGGTTTGGGCGCATCGTGGCTGTCGGCCCCCTCCGAAACCTGAGCAATTTGGCTGCTGCTGGTGCCTGCCCTGGCTTCTCACAGCTCTCACCCTGCAGCTTTGTGGCCACAACTTACCCTTAGTGGTGTTTTTTTTTTTGGGAAAGGCTGCCTGGCTGTGTGGGGATGGACAGGGTCATGTCTGGGGAGAAGGGGATGCCTACAAATACCCCCATCCTCCACTCCCCCTGCTAATGAGACCACTGGAAGGAGCCTGTCCTGTGCTGTCCTGTCCCCTTCCCATACCCCACGGGGGGGATTAGCAGGCACTAATCCTCCCAGCAGCTCCACATGCTGAGCTCCCACCTCCAGGGCTGCAGGCGAGGGCTGAGAGCTCAGGTCCGGGCTCGGAGGCGGTTCAGCACCCTCCCACCACCACCACCCCCCCAAAAACAGCCCCTCCGTGGGGCGCGGGGACCGAGGCTACCTTAGGGGGTGCTGAGCCTGGCCCTTCCCCGCCGTGGGGGCTCTTGCTCTGCAGGCTCCAGAGGAAGTGGCGGATGTAGAGGAGGTGCCGGTAGATGTTGTCGTCCAACGTCTCCACCTCCAGGTCCACCTTGAAGCCCCCGCTGGGCAGGATGATGGGCGGGTGGTTGTCGAAGGACTCCAGCATCCCCTCTGAGAGGGGGAGGTGAGCATCACCAGGCTGCCCCTGGCCCCATTGGGTCTCCCCAGCCAGGATTGAGACCACAGGGCAGCAGGAGCACCCCTCCTTTGGGATCACAGAAGCGGTCCCACACCCCTCTAAGTGCACTCAGCATCCCTGTGATACCCCAGCATCACAGCACCGAGGTTATTCCCGATCACTGCCACTACCTGCAGGAGCCCCGGGGAGGGGAAGGGCACCTCCTGCTCCATTCCTTCATAAAAACCCTGCAGGGATCCTGCAGGCACCAGGTCCCCGGTGACCACAGCAGCACCGAGCACACGACCAGGGTCTCACCGTGCTGGAAGGCGGCCGTGCTCTCCTCCTCTCCAGGCTGCCA